TCTACAATTTGAAGATCCACTCAAATCGCTGCAGCCTAGTAAAGATGAGCATGTACTGTGATCACTTCATGGTGGTCATCCTGTAGAGGTAATTTGGATGTTACTCCATATCCATGACCTTGGGGACAATCTGAACCTTTGCCCAATCAACATTGAAGACTTCTGTCAGTTTCTTGAGGTTCATGGGTGCAAATTCACATATACTGAAGACTGTGTCACCCAACCAGGACATGCACAGGTTCCTGAGCTATTCATCAAAGAAAGGCTTATCGAATTGTGTTGTGAGAAGAGGGATATATTTGTGATAGCCTGCCTGACACACCATGGCTTATTCTTTGCAAGCTCAATGATGATGGGAAGACTATCAGATAGGAGTTTGATATCAATGACTAACAATAGCAATTTCAGAGAGTCAATCACATGAAAACAGGGAGGGACCTTACCACTATTTACAGTCTCGAGCTTACTGATGACATTGAGCCAAAATTCGACCTTTAATAGATGAAGGGACAGGGATAAGAGATGCTCAATAGTAGCATCTCTACCCAAGAGCAGTGCAAGGCCACTGACATGGTTTGCAAGAGTGGCTCACACATGCTCAGACATGTCATGTGAGAGGTCATGCACACAAGGCATGATAGTGTGCAAGGATGACTTTCTTCTCGAGCAGTTTTGAAAATCCTGAAATTCAAGGGTGAAATCAAGCAGTATTATGTGGTGACATTGATTACCATACCTAGGATCTGGTCTGCAGCTGCTGTGCATGCTTCTGCCTCATTATCTTTCAGAAGCTGCACACATTGCCCTATTAACTCCTCCCTGACCAGTTCTGTGCTGATAGCTTCTGTGAGCTAAATGCTGATGTGACTTGTCACTCAGAGACGTAAAATCCAGCATTGGGGACACACCTCATTGAAATATGTTGGGGCCATTGCACCTGCCAGCTTTTATCAGTAATACTGTGTCTGATTTGCTTCAACAGTTGCTTCACAATAATAATAACATCTTCTATTGTGAGTGAGCACCCAGAATCCTCATCATTGAATTGGAGTCTGCAGTAGATAGGTAACCCATCTGACAAGACATGTTGCATTTACCCGCAACATGCAAATAGATAGAACTTACAGACCACAAGCTGTAATTGGAAGTCCACAACTTTGATGTTAGCGGGTGTTTTACCTTGGTCATGTTGGATGGAGAGTATTTTATTTCACTATCTATGCTCACATAAGTTCAGACATCTAAGTATCTTGATGGCTCAACTACAAACTAAGGACCTAAGGAATCAAAACCAAGCTCGCAAACTATGTAGCAAAGGGTACAAATAACTATTGAGTGAGGAATGTGTAGTGTGAGAGCAAGTATTTGCATTGAGTATATGGACATGTCGCTTGTATTCTCCACAAATATGACCTGCAAGCCATTGGTGTCCACCCAAACTAATGGTGTCCAGAATTCTAGACTGATGTATAGTATGCATGGTTTATTACATAATGTGTCATGCACATTGCACAAGACATATCTGATAAAAACATAAGGTAATGGTAGTGGAATGCTTAGTCACAAACTGAGCAGTTTTTTTTGCAACACTACAGTTTGAAATAGTTAGTATCTGACCATGAGAATCACCATCTAGAATGAGGCATTGTTGTTGTTTTTTGTGTGGAGGAGCTGGGCTCAGATACCAGGCAGGGATATGGTAGTGTTCAAGTGCAGCACCTGCACAACTAGATGTACAAAAGACTGCAATGCAATCCTCAGGTGTGGGTCTGTTAGCACCACAGAAGGGTTCAGGACAGGCTGTTGATACAAACCATTTGTAGAACTTGGCATGGCTGAAGCTTGGTGAGACTGTGAACATTGCATGATATGTAAGAAAGTGTGAAGAGAACTCTTTGCTCATGAACCAAGGTAGAGGCCCTACAGTAAAATGAGTAAAAAGTTGTTGTGATACATTTGTGGGGTACTCACCATTGTCTTTGAGTTTCTCCACTCTGGCATTGATGCTATCCTGAATGTCCTGTGCATCAACAGTCCATGGGTCAGATTTTAATGAGCTGAGATCAGCTGCTGACAGAGGATTGTTTGCAACATTTATATCCTGGCTGACATTCCAGGCAGTCCACTGGGATGATGATGGGTTGGAATCTGTGCCAACAGAACTGGACAAGTTGGAGGGAACTGAGACATGAGGGGGTGTGATGCATCTTCATGGTTGTGACATCAAGTAAGACCTTTTGCACATGTCACAAAATGATATCAAGTCTGATTCTTTTAACATCACACTGTTTAACCTCATCCCATATTTTAACAACTGTGAGCAATCACCAGATGACCACAACAATGTGTGTGCTGCTCACCTGGTCACAACATCTTGGCATTTGAGTGTGGTGCGTGCCTGCCCATTGATAGCAATGGTACAATTCCCACTCCCAATGCCATACAACATGGCTTGGAAACCCTTCTGGTCACCTCTAACCATGAACACCTCTTGGCCAATGACTTTGTTAAAAGAATCCAATGACACATTGAGTATTTTCATTACAAATCCAATTGGAACGTCAACCTATTACAACTCAGATATGACTGAGTCAAGTCAAATTTCACTTATGATAGAGTGATCACTCTCAGACAATAGTGTAAGGTGTGCCTTTGGAAAGTCAACACCTTGCACAATTCCTTTCATCTAATACTCTGGGCTGTGAGCAACCTCTATGACATCTCCAGGCTTGATGTCATAACCTTTTTCCCTTGTGAATTTGATTGTCTGGGGTAGGTGCATCTGCCAAATAGTTGCCACAGGAACTTGAATAATTGGTGGTCCTAAATAGTACTTTGTAGCACCTGCAATGAAGTTTTGGAGAGACTCATCCTGGAACCACAGATCGGTTCCTCCATGAGGAGGAATGGTCATGATGCCCTGTTTCCCTATGTGTTGTCCCACAAGGACTTCTATGTGATCCCCAATTTCTATAGATTCAGAGTCAGGGAGAGGCTTGAAATGTTGATGTGATGGTAGTTGTGACTGTAGAGTACAGTTTATAGGATGCCAGTCTAAGTGGTATTTTGAAACTTGAACCTGTGCCCAAGCATCAGACAGTTTTGTAGAATTTTTTGTTCATGCCAAACAGTTACCTCTTCCATGGAGACCCTTTGGCAAATGTGAAACACCTCCTTGTCCATTTCTTTGATATGGCCTTCTACACCCAGGTATGAACCTGCTATGGCTTGAACTTCATTACCAACCCAAAAGATATGCTCCACATCCTTGAGTCAAGCTTCCACTTCTTCCCACTTTCTGTCCAATGTGAATTCCATGCATGTGGAACCACTGAACACATGGTCTGTCAAAACGACCATGCCAATCTGTGATTGGACTTTTCCTGTGATTATCCTGGCCACATCAGAAACTGCATGGAGAATGCTATGAGGGATTTCTTGACAAAAGGTGTATCAACCATGGATTGCAGATGTGGTCTGATAGCATCAGCATGAGGGCAGGCGAGAAGTTTTAATTGATAATTGTGGCACTTTTTCTCTAGCAGTCCCTTGTAGTACTGCTGTCCTTTGTATGAACATCCTATAACTTCTCCATTACAAATGATGTCAGTTACTGTTTTGTCCTTCGGAAGTCAAGAACAGTCAAGCAGAGCTTCAGATCCTGAAGGCATGTCACAGGGAAAGTTCCAAATAACAACATAGACCATAACAAAAAGATCCAATTGATCAGGGTCGCAAACATAGCCTATGGTGCCCTTGTATGGGCCAGCTTTGATCCTTACCCATGATGGGTTGGGAAATTTGATACTTGCACATTCCACTGCATCATGTTCTTTATCTGAGATGCAATGATAATCTTTCACAGACAGACTATGTGAGTCTGGAAGGGATGATGCGATGGTTCTGGGGCTGTCTGATATAACATAGAGCTGCCCAGACAGCCAAGGTGACATGGTCACAGTGAATCCTTTGCTCTGAAGATATTCACCAATATAGGTTGTAGCAGTTTCTATGAAGTGATGAGTAACATGCTACACAATGAAAACATGAACTTACTGTAAACATGTAGCAGATACATTCTGCTCTTGAGTGTGGCAGGGGGCCAGGTGGCTCTGTAAGAAACAAGTCTTCTTGAAGAGCTAGATATGTTGGTTGTGTTGTTGTATATCTTGTCAATCTTCTTGGATAATGTATCCTTTGCTGACAGTCCTGGAATAACAGTAATGCTCAGCAATCACACAGAAGGGCCACCTTGGTCCTGCTCCCCATCATTGTCACTTGCATCATCATCCTCCTCATCTTCATCATCATCCTCATTTGCTTCGACATCAACATATATGTTCTTCTGCTACATTTATTTAGTATGTATTCAGTAAAATGTGAACATTTTTACTTACAGGGAGGGGTTGATGGCATATGTGTCTTCTCCTCAGAATCTTGAGGTTTTTCAAACAGGCTCCAAGATTGTCTTCACCAGAGAAGAGCATAGTTTTAGCCTCCTTTCAATCATCTGCAGAGTATCAGTTGCCAAGGTATGATAAAAGTTTCTCTTCTGTCTGACCATAACTCATCTTGGTTGTGAGGAATCATTCTAGAATGCACCATGTGCCTTGATCTGCCAATGGCAATGGTGCCAGATGAGAATTCCCTGCATAATGGTCATACTAAGTAATGAGAATCCTGTCTTGGACTGCTACCAAGTGGCACCCCAACAAGGACCCCAGAACTCAAAATCCAACACTGCGCTCAACAGTGGCAATGCCCAACCAAACCTGCTTCCAGTTAATATCCATTCAGTACTAGATAAATCCACAGAACCTACATTAGAGTAAAAACCAAAAACAATGTCTTCGGACCCCCTGGAAGGCTCTCAAGGAGCTAAATCCAACAGACCCAAATGCCATGCAGCATATAGACCATCAAATAGATCAATCCCTGACTTAATCAATGACCCAGCTAACAAATCCACCATTATAGACAAACAATCAGCAAGAGCAGAACTAGAAACAAGGCTATTTATCACTCCAGCAGCAGAAATTAACATAGATACACTGGCTACAGCGCTTCTCAATTTTACAGTCCAAGCTCACTCACTAACTTCTATGCACATAGATATCATGCGAGCAATTGCTATCCTCATGCTCAAAACTGACCAAGAAAGAAAAGCTCAAATCATTGCAGACTTGGTCAACAATCTCATTCATAAATCCATGGCATGTTTAGAAGAAATCATAGAAAATCAAGCAAACAAGGACACCCAATCGACTACAGCAAGAATGGAGGAAACAATGAACAATATCAGCAGCAAACTAGAAGAAGTCAAAACTACAGTTGAGAACCTCTCTCCCTCTCTCAGATTATTGCAAGATGGACTCACAAACACACAGAACATCGACACTCATTTCGACAAGTTTCAACAAAACATGACCACAATCACATCAAGAATCAATCAACTCAATCAACAAGGAAGCTACAGAGCAGTGCTTCTCTCAGGAACCAGGAGCGGAGAAGATACCAACTCCCGAGAAGTCCAAAGACTGGCACACAATGCAATCAAAGCCTGTCAAATACTAATCAATATTAACCCAGATAGTGCACTAGCTCCAGGTAAAGTATTGCACGAACAACTAGTAACAAAAATCAAAGAAGCCCTTAAGACCATCAGCAACCCAGACACCCCGGATCTCGACATATGTGCAGTGAACCAATACTGCAATGGAAATACCATCATCCAAATGTTCAATGAAGACACAGCCAAATACCTCAAGCAACAAACAATAAAGGAAAGCTTCATTAATACATTAGACCCATCAGCAACCATGAAAGATTGCTCATACCCAGTCATAATTCAATTCATTCCACTAACATTCAATCCCAGTGATCAAGACCAAATCCAGCAACTAGAACAAGAGAACAGCTGGGAGACCAACTCAATCATGACAGCAAGATAGGTAAAACCTCTGGAAAAATGCACCACCTCTCAACAAGTTGCCCACCTCCTAATCACTCTCAAGGATCCCAAAACTGCCAACCTAGGTATATGAGATGGCATCACCATGAATCACAACATGCTCCAAATCAAGAAGAACAAATGGGAACCTGTTCGCTGCGCTAAATGCCAAGGATACGGACACATCACTAGAGACTGCATCTCCCACCAAGATAAATGTGCCAACTGTGTGGAAGAACACAGAACTAGCAAATGCCACAACAAGGACACCAAACAATGCGTATCTTGCCAATCATCTGACCATGCCAGCTGGGATAGGAACTGCCTGGAATTTGAAAGAAGATGCACTGACCTCAATCACAGAGACTCCAGCAACACGATGCCATACTTCCCAACAGACGAAATCTGGACACAAGTACAAGCACCCCCAAAAGCAAGACCACCTCCTCCTCCCAGACCCCAGCAATCATCCAACCCACATCCAACCCAGCAAACTCAGAACACCCTAGATCGCCACTTCATCCCAAGAGGAGCAAGACCGGCCAGAGGATGCTACCTCCCACCCAATGCAAGAATCTCACCTCAATACACATCAAACTCACCTCCACCTCCCTTGCAATATCGATCCCAACCCCAACCTCGATCCTGATCCCATTCACAACCCTACATGCCAACCGCCCACCAAAACCCCAACTATCTCAATGTATAATACACCCAATAATGAAGCTGTAAGACTAAAAATATGGCAAGAAAACCTCAATAAATCCAGCACCGCCCAACACTGCATCCTCAGTGGACCATTCACTGCAAAAGACTATGACATAGTCATTATCCAGGAACCATTTGTTGATATCCTAGGCAACACCAAGGCCTCTCCTGACTGGAATGTAGTCTACCCCACACAGAAATACTCACATCAAGACAGAACATGTGCAGTCATACTCATCAACAAATGCATCAATATGAGTAACTGGAGACAACTCCCTTTCCCATCATATGACGTTACAGTCGTTCAACTCAACGGAGCATTCGGAAAAATAACAATTTTCAACATCTATGATGACAGCAAAAAGTGAGATGTAATACCAGCCCTAGCCAAGTACCTAGATCAGGAGATCTGCACCATCCGTCCTACTCCCAATGACCACATACTGCTCATGGGAGACTTCAATGTGCACCACCAACTATGGGAAGAAACAAGAAACAACCACCTATGCACTCCCATGGCAGCTCAAGAAGCTGCTCAATGCATTATTGAACTCCTCGCCAACTATGACCTCAGGATGGCCTTACCTGGCAACAAACCCATGCTTCAGTCAACAAGCAGCAGAAATTGGACAAGACCAGATAATGTATTTTGTACTGCACATACACTAGATTCACTCACACTATGTAACACAGCCCAAAGACGCAGACCACCATGTACAGACCATGTACCAATACTAACTACCCTAGACCTAGACATCCCCTGTGCCTCAAAAACGACCACATTCAACTTCCGAGACGTCAATTGGGACAAATTCCGAGGTCGCCTCAACACCCACCTCAGCAACATCCCAGAACCAAAACCCATCACGTCAGAGGAACAATTTCAAGCAGCAGCCGCCAATCTAAGTGCAGCCATCAAACGCACCATCCAAGACAAGGTACCACAAATGAAACCAAGCCCTCATGTGAAATGATGGTGGACCAGGGAGTTAATGCAGATGATGAAAAAGAAAAGCGAGCTGAGTAACTTATCCTATAAGCTAAGAGGCCTACCTGAGCACCCCATCCATGAAGAACACCACAAGTATCATAATCAAGTCACTGAGGAAATCCACAAAACCAAGCAGGAGCACTGGATTGCTTACCTGGAGGAACTCGACCAGAAAAGCATCTATACAGCCAATCACTATGTCACCACCCCATATGGCGACAGCAGAAGAACAAGCATCCCAGCATTAAAGACAAAAATAGCCGAAGGGACACCAATCAAGGCCATCACCAACAATCAGAAATCCAGAGCACTAGCCAAAACCTTCTTCCCCCCCCACCCCCCTCCAGCATGGTACCTCAAGACTATGAATACCTGGACTCAGCTACACCATTCATGCCCATCACAGAAGAACATATTGACAGAGCCATCACCAACATGAGCGCATACAAGGCCCCAGGACCCGACGGCATATGCAACATCATTTTCAAATGAGCATCTGCAACACTAACCCCATACCTCTATCATCTTTTCAACACAGTGTTCATGCTCAAGATGTACTATGATCCATCGAGAGAGTTCACAACAGTAGTCCTAAGAAAGCCAGGGAAGGCAGACTACTCAATCCCGAAAGTGTATCGTCCAATCGCTCTAATCAACACCACATGCAAGCTGCTAACATCAATTATAGCTGAACAGGTATCCACCATCTTAGAGAAGTATGACCTCCTACCCACACATCATTTCGGAGGCCAACCCAGATGCACCACCACCGACTCGCTACATATCCTTGAAACCACCGTGAAGAATGCATGGTGCAATGGCAAGGTCGCCTCAATACTCTTCCTCAATATTGAAGGAGCATTCCCAAACACAGTCACCGACAGATTAGCTCACAACATGAGAAGATGACACCTCCCACCAGAAATAGTTGATTTCACTGTCCGCATGCTCACCAGATGCAAGACCCAACTAAAGTTCAATGACACCATTTCAGACTGGATCAATGTTAGAAACAGAATCGGTCAAGGAGACCCTCTATCAATGATAGCCTACCTCATATACAATGCTGACCTACTAGACATAGCCAACCTGAAGAACAACGAAACAGCACTAGCATTCGTCAATGACATGGCCTACATAGCTATTGGCTCAATGTTCAAACACACTCACGCCACCCTCAAAGATATGATGGAATGACCAAAGGGTGCACTACATTGGTCAAGGAAGCACAATTCAAAATTCAAAGTCAATAAATTCGCTCTGATTGATTTTACCCATAGCAAAACTCATGAAAGGCCTCCCCTGACCATCCAGAACACGATCATCCAACCCTCAGAACATCACCACTTCCTCAGACTCATAGTTGACCAAGAACTCACCTGGAAACACCACGTCACTCATGCCACCGCCAAAGGAACAGAATATGTGCTTCAACTCAGGCACCTCTCCAGACCCACAAACGGAGTATCAGCCAAGCTCATGCGTCAACTCTACATAACAGTTGCTATCCTGAAATTCACTTATGCAGCAGACATGTGGTTCAGACCAATATACAGTGAAAGTACAGAAACAATGCAAAGAGGATCAATAGGTGTTGCCGAATGATTAGCCAAAGTCCAAAGAACTGCCACACTAAGTATCACTGGAGCCATGAGAACTACAGCTACTGACACACTCAATGCTCATGCCAATCTTCTCCCAACAGATCTTCTACTTCAATGCATATGTCACAGAGCTGCCCTCCACCTCGCTACACTCCCAGAAAAACACCCCATCAGCAAACACCTCAAACACATCGCCTGATACTACGACATCCAACACCACCACTCATTGCTGCACAACCTCATCGCCACCTACAAAGTCTTTCCAAGCGAAGTCAAAATGATAGACCCTACCCGAAAATCCAATACACTAAATCCCATTGTTTACAGCACCCACATCACTACGAAGAAAGATGAGGCCATCAAAGAACAACAAGAACTTGGAGACACAATTCAAGTATTCACTAATGGATCAGCGCATGACAGCGGGGTAGGAGCGTCAGCAGTACTGATGAGGGAAGGAAAAGAACCACGTACCCTGCAATACCATCTTGGTTCAGACAAGATGCATACCGTCTTTGAAGCAGAAGTAGTAGGCCTCACACTAGCCACGAAGCTCCTAGCATCAGAACGGAATGCAACATATCCCACAAGCATATTCGTTGATAATCAAGCAGCAATACAATCCAGTGAGAGCAATAATTCAAAACCAGGCGGATACTTAGTAGAAATCTTCTGTAGAATGACTAAATGGCTGCAAGAGAGAAGAAGAGACAGAGATCATGACTTTCAACTAACAGTTTGCTGGATACCAGGCCACAAGGGAATAGTAGGAAACAAATTAGCAGATGAAGCAGTAAAAGAAGCAGCAAGAGGAAGAGCATACTTGAGCAACAAGCGAACCCTACCCCACTACCTCCAGGAAGTAGACCTCCCATACAGTGTCTCAGCCCTAAGACAATGGCACAAAATCAGACTGGCAAAGAAATGGTCTGCAGTATGGAAGAAGTCACCCTGATATGAGAAGGCAAAGCTCATAGACCTGTCAATGCCCTCCAACAAGTTCATGAAACTAGTCGCCACCCTCCCCAGACGTCAAACAAGCATATACATCCAGCTCCATACAAAACACACCCCGCTCAATCACCATCTGCACTGTATAGGAAAGGTCAACTCCCCCCACTGCCCATTCTGCCTGGAGAAAGACAAAACCCCTTATCACTATCTCCTCGACTGCCCACAATATGCACATGAAAGACACATCCTTACCAACTCCCTACATCACCAAGCATCCTCCATCGCCTTCCTTCTCACCTCCAAAAAAGCAATAGACCCTCTTATGCGCTTCATCAACAGCATGGGAAGATTCAAGTCTACCTTCGGTGAGATCCCACTAAATTAATAAAGATCAACTCATGCACATGCACACACACACAGAACATACCATATACACCAAAGTCACAACTGTACCAACAAAACCATCAAAACACTCCATACCTAGAGGGATTCAACTAAATGCAGGCCATTCAGTCAATGTAGCCAAGTGAGAGATGACAACCTCATCACCCACCACATCTATTTCCCCCTGTATGAACTCAGCATTGGCCTTTGCCCGACATCATGCTGATGGAGTACGTGAATACCTACACAACACATGACAAGCATACATATACATACAATAGATAAACGGGAGTAAACCCCCCGCATAAAGGGTTATGTCCGACATAGGGTCTTCGACCCCAAAGGACAATAAAACATGAGATAAAAAAAATAAAAATAAAAAAGTAATGAGAACAAAGGTATACTATACTGGCTTACCATGATTTCTGTCCTGAATACATTTTGAGGAGGGTTCCAGTTTGCTATCACTTGGTGCAGCACATTTAGACATTATGCTGCAGTCCAAATCATTAATTTCCTAGTATATGGAAGCCAAAACACAACATACTATGACCATCAAGCTTTCAAGTCTTCCAAAATCTACCTTATGTATAGTAACTAGTAGCTAGGTATTGATGTAGGAAGACAAAGTAGAAAGAAGACCTGTGAATGTGCATAATCAGCATTTATAGTGAATGACTAATGTGGACGTTGATACTAACCAGTGCAAACAGTGAGGATTGTGGACCGGTATGTGTTTTGCCCACAAGTCCACCCGCCACCATTTTGAGCATGGTGAACAAATATACACAGTCTAAGTTGTGCCCACCCTCAACATACAGTGGCTCAAAAAACTGTCCACATGTTTTTGCATTTTTTACTATTTACAATATTGTGTGAGAATACATAAAGACCTCAGTGACATGCTGATACCATATTGTAGTGCTGCTTCAGGGCTTTGGATTGAGCACCACATCATGAGAATCAGAGATATGGTGGAGATACAAGGCTTACAAAATCATGACTCATGTGGACAGTTTTTTGAGCACATATTAAAACTATATAAATCATCATTTATGACACCATAACAATCATGCCACCATTAAATAAACTATAAAGTGGTGTCATTATGTCATTTTAAAACCATATCTAACTATACAAACCAAAAATTTCCATATGTCATGGTTATATTCACCATGAAAGCCACCCCCCCTGCTCAAAGGGATAATATCCTCTCTCTTTCCTATTCTGGCCTCTCTGCTTGTCAAATTTCCTCTAGAACTGGAGTATCCAAGTCCACTGTGGCCAAGTTCATCAAAGAAAGTCACACAGACAAGGAAAACTTCTGTGAAGGGCGTCCATCCAAGCTCACCTCTACTGATAGGAGGGCTATTATTCAACATATCACTACAGGAAAGGCTGATAATGCTGTCCAGGTCACCTATTACATCAATTCCACCATCACATTCCCTGTCTCTTCACACACTGTGAGAAACATTCTCAAGACAGCTCATCTCAGGTCGGTAACAAGGAAGAAAAGGCTTTCCTCTCTATCACACATATGCAGAGAGGACTAGCACCCTTCTTTTGTCACATATATACCTTGCCATCTGACCCAATCCTATTTATTGTGGTCTTATATGATCATATAACATGCTTCCAGTCCATGTAATCCAATTCTGATAGGCTAAGGCAAAGGTTAGTCATCTCTGTTTATGTGTGATAGAGAGGAAAGCCTTTTCTTCCTTGTTACCGACCTGAGATGAGCTGTCTTGAGAATGTTTCTCACAGTGTGTGAAGAGACAGGGAATGTGATGGTGGAATTGATGTAATAGGTGACCTGGACAGCATTATCAGCCTTTCCTGTAGTGATATGTTGAATAATAGCCCTCCTATCAGTAGAGGTGAGCTTGGATGGACGCCCTTCACAGAAGTTTTCCTTGTCTGTGTGACTTTCTTTGATGAACTTGGCCACAGTGGACTTGGATACTCCAGTTCTAGAGGAAATTTGACAAGCAGAGAGGCCAGAATAGGAAAGAGAGAGGATATTATCCCTTTGAGCAGGGGGGGTGGCTTTCATGGTGAATATAACCATGACATATGGAAATTTTTGGTTTGTATAGTTAGATATGGTTTTAAAATGACATAATGACACCACTTTATAGTTTATTTAATGGTGGCATGATTGTTATGGTGTCGAAAATGATGATTTATATAGTTTTAATATGTGCTCAAAAAACTGTCCACATGAGTCACCATTTTGTGAGCCTTGTATCTCCACCATATCTCCACCGATTCCCACGGTGTAGGGCTCAAATGAAAGCCCTAAAACCATACTACAATGTAGTATAAGCATGTCCTTGAGGCATTTGTTCATTCTCACACAATATCATAGATAGTGAAAAATGTCAAAACATGTGGACAGTTTTTTGAGCCACTGTATACTACATTTCGCTAATACTATGTTACTGGTCCTTGAATGGACTTGTTTCTATTCCATGCTATGATTACAAATATTGTCCACTCTGGCTATTCCCAGCAATCATTGTTCCCTACATTACTCATCATTTGTCATATTGGTAAGCTTTCATATCTTGTGCTCATACTATGACCATACTCCTATTACTCCAACACCAGGGAGACCAGTGTTGTGCCACACAACATCCCCTGTCTCTTGCCAGAGCTTCATGATACACCAAAAAATATGTTCTGTAAAGCCAACACAGTCCACAATCTGCCCAATAGTGAGCAAATTGTGTTCAAAAAGATTTACAGCAGCAAGCTTGAGGTCACAGTTGATTTTATGGTAAGGCATAGTATTAGTATGATAGTGCATTGAGCCAAGCACAGTTGTAGTGATTTTTCTTTTCTTTAATTTCCTTATTCTCTCAAATCATGTGTACTGACAACATTTTTGCAAATATCTGTAAGAAAAATAACTGAAAAAAGGCCACTCATTTTTGAAAAGAAGTGAAAACCATTGGAAAGTCAAAAAAAAGTCTGATTAAGTTGAGGTTTTCCTGATGCTATCATTGACCTACAACAATTCTCATGCATAATTATACTTGCTGTATGACACACTACTGGCTTATAATCTTTTCTTCTTGTCTGTCGCTGTTTGCATGGTACATATGCGCCTAAATAATCTTCCAGTCCAACGGAACATTCATAACACTGAAACCAGAAGGACCTCTGCACTGTCGCAACTAAAATCACTCCTGCCCAAGAACGAGTGCGCTTTTGTTCCCTATTAAAGTAAACCACGCATCTTCCTGTCCTGCTTTAGTGGCACCCACAGCGGGCGATACGCCGGATGAACCCAGAATGCCTGTTTTCATGATAGCTTTGGCGAGAACGGAAACGTGAATCTCCGCATTGGACGTAAAATGCGACGCGGCGCCAGTCACGTAGCTTGAATTAGCCAAATCAACATTGAAACAGAATTTGAGGGAAGAAGAAGCGCACCCAGCTATGGTCTCTGCAAGACTTTTATTAGCACGCTGTGCTCCTTTGAGGAAACCTGGGCGGAAGACGATGGTGTCCGCATATCCAAGGCGTGCTATGTCTAGTTCTGTTAGACCTTTTGATCTGAAGGAAAGAAAGTCAGATGAGAATTAAGGAAGAGCGTGCCGTAGCAATTCTTGCGCACCTCATATATAGGAAGTGAGAGGACGGGTCAGCACCAGAAGACTATATTTCGCATCAATTCACATCGTGTACATCACATATTTTGTGTTAAACCCACCGAAAGATATACGACACGCTGTTTGTGTTCCGGATCATCTGTTTTCGCAGCCTCGCAGGCGTTCACCACATACCTGCGTACGATACATGAGATGGAATCGAGTATGACAAACAAACTCAACTCACTCTCTGTCAATCTTCTCGAACATTTCTGTGCTCCCTGCATTTGCGCGAGTCGTTCCGAGGGTGACGAACACAACATCCCACCGTCCATCCTTCAACCCTGCCGCTTCGAGGTTCTCAAAGTTGATTGTTTTCTGCTCTAGTTTGCCCCTATTCTCGGGAAGATCGGCTTCTGGTGTTACTCGTCTGCCATATTCGCCAACTTTAGACCATTGATCGTTTGAGAGAAGCTCGCGAAGGAGATGTCTGCCTGTCGCGCCTGTTGCGCCTAGAATGAGAGCTGTCGACATGGTTTGTAGTAGCCAACTATCTCGGACGCGAACGCAATTTAAACATGAGCTCGCCAACACATACGCGGGGCTTCGGCATACTGCCAAACACCACATAACATCACAAAATATTGATCCGCATCCATGCTGGTGTGTTTGTGTATGTATACGATGAGCTAGCCGTCTCACGCACACCGTGTCGATACGGAGGTGCTTCTAGCGTGTCTCAGACAGGAGGCCTACCTCCAGCTAACGCTCGTTAATACTACGATTCTAGAATGTGACACCTATGTCAGCTAGTCACAACACAGGCGCCAGGGAGCATGTGGTGATACGCTACTACTTATGATATCCTCTGATATCCTTCAAGTTGACAATTTGAAGTAAGGCCGCGCGTGTCGACGGATGTACTGTCGGGCCTCAGACTACTCCGGCAAGATACGCTGCGACTATGACAGTCTGGCACCTGTGCAACTGCGTATGCTGAGTCGAACTAGTTCGGAAGTCCATCGGCTTTATTCCCTACGCCACTTGGGCCTTCCACTCTGGCCTCCAGATATGAAATTCCCGGTGATCTCGGACTCGGACATGGCGGTGGCGCGACGGCGTCAAGTTCATCGGTACAAATGTCATCCGTCAACTGAGCGATATAAAATTTTAATGCGTCGAATCATTCGATCGGCAGGTATCGGGCTGTGGAATTCAAGATATCAGATCTCTTGAGGTCGTGACACCAGTTCATTTTATAAACATGTAGCGTATGCGTTGGAGTAGGGGACACCGGGGTAGGAGTCGAGTGGCACCGTAGTAATTAGCGAGCATTCAGCGTCCTTCGGGCTTTGTCGTAGCGCAGTGCTCTTCATCACTTTGCCTTGCTCGAGACACGCAGGCACACAGTCGCGAATACACCGCTCCAGCGTCCCTGTGTATCAGCATGGATCTACGCAAATTATCCTTGAGTCTATATGAATACCCGTGTAACACGACTAACGGCAGGGAGTGGCATCGCGTTCAACGACTTGTGAACCCGGCCATATCATACCCGTGTTTCAGACCCTCAAATCGCATAAATAATCTTAGAAGAGCCTTGACACAGATGTATGTGCTTTTCGATAACTAGTGTCACTTCGACTGGCGATGGATTATTGTGTATTCAATGCTGTACTGCACAGCAAACATTCAAAGAGCATTATCGTTTCGTTTTCAATAAACCGTTACATAGATGAATGGTCGAAAGCCGTCCATCACTAAACATCAAAAATAAAAAAGGGAATTACAGCTCCGTCCAGAATGAGAGCTGGAGACAGTGACTAGATCCATACAACAACAACCATACTACAACCTAGAACAAAATGGCAGCAAGCTTTTGCCAGAAACCCTCGGGTGGGTAGTATGGCCCCTCTGTCTCCTCTGGGGTAGGAATACCCTAATCTCACGCGTCAAATCGAGTCGAAGTGTAGCCGCTGAGGCACTTACCGTCACAAAGTCCATCTCTTCTGGTTTCCAGATCTCAGTCTTTTTCACAAACTTCCAGCCAAAGTAAAGACCGAAGAACAGCGGTATGTTGATATCTGCGAGGGGTAATTGGGATTGTGAATCCATCAAGACTTTACGCAACAATGAGAATGAGCAGACGCACATGCAGTGAGGAAGCCAGCGGCAGTGAAACCCCAGAAGATTTCGAAGCCGTTGATGAGGATGAAGAAGATGCACCAGGCCAATCCCCAGATCGAAAGCCATGGCTGAAGGTGGCGTGTCAGTGTCAGCACTCAGCGGAGCCGCGTATCGATAGAGGGTACGAACCTGGAGGCGGTTCCAGTAGTAGAGCTTTGTGCGGTCAATGCCTTGGTGCTTCATTCCGCGGTCTGCATATTTTGTGAGACCTAGATTAGAAAGGGAGATAGGTAGATGATGGGCTTACGGAAGAAGATGTAGGTCAAGTTGATAGATCCCCAACCGAAGAAGCCGCCCACAGTTGAGAGGTTGACGAACCAACTAATCAAACGTCAGTACTGATCGTACACCACTAGGAGCACATACTTGAACACTGTTGCGGAGCCTGATTTGATGTTCATGAGCGCGAGGAGTGCAAAAATGCTCTAGATATAGAATCAGCGCCATGCAAATAGCGTGATGGTCCCAAAAATGACGCACAGAGAACCCAACAGCGATAAGGGGAAGTCCAGAGTTCGTACACCTTGAAAAAATCTTAGGTGCTTGCCCTCGGAGAGCCAGACCGTACAAGATACGAGATGAACAGAAGAGGAATGAGTTTGCAGCACTGAATGCACTCGTCATGACGCCGGCATTGATGATACTTGGTAGGACTGTCCATGTAAATATGAACAACAATTGGGTCCGGATTATCGTGAATGTTACCTTTAATCCCAGCATTTGTCATGGCAATGACATAGGGAGACTGGGCAGCAGTACCCGTGGCTGTACGGAATATATTAGACCTGTCCTACAGGACACGAGCAAGAACTCACATTGGAGCAAGTTGGGATCGTTATAGGGAACGATAAGGCCTGTGATGAAGATGCCAAGGATCTACGCGCACCCTTCATCAGGACCTGTATCATTCCAACCAAAACAATAAAGACTTACATAGAAAATTAAGATACGGAAGAATACCCTGCGGACGGCTTTTGCGATGTTCCGGCGGGGGCTTTCTGTCTCAGAAGCGGCGCTATGAATCGATTTTGAAAATGAGCTTCTTCTGGTGATGGATGGGGTTTGCTTACATCGCGACGAGTTCCATGCCTTGGAATGAGAATGATGCTTGAACAAGAACATTCAAAATGCCGAGGAAGCGGTCCAGGCCAACATGCTTTGGTTCTAGTTGAGCACCTGCTAGGATACCGGGATTTTTCCAGTACTGCCCTCAATGTCAGAACAGTGGTTTATTTCCAGTTACTTTGATACCGACCTGGAAGCCCAGCCGGTGGTGATCTGGTGCACCACCAAGATCAATGATCAAACCAACAAGAATGAGACCGGTGATCATCGTGACTTGTGATAATAGGTAAAACAGAAATACCACGCCAGCATCAACAATCAAGCTTACGTTTGATGAGTGAGAACACGAATTCCGCTAGTAGTTTATATGGTTGAGCCTGAGTCGAGTAGCATCAAGAATAATTATTTCTGACCTTCGCCAAAATACCTGCGGGAAGGTTGTGAGCATGCACTACACGCAGGGTAAACGCCACATACCGTACGCCGAAGACATTCGTTGCGCAAGCAAAAACAATGATAATTGCAGTGTAGATACCCGCGTGATTCGGCTACAGGATAAAGCTTTATCAACAGGACTGCGAACCAATTGCTTGGCTCACGTTGGAATCCCAATAAGTGATAAGAATCTGAGCGCCCGTGATTTCCACTGGCACGGTTATCCTTGTCGGGTGTAAACGTAATGACGAGAGACCAAAAAACAAAGACATACACGTTGGTCTATTGATGCATTAGTACATCGTTTTGTACAGAGATATATGATTAACTCACATAAAAGTAGTTCTGAATAAATCGTGACGACTGTCAGCAATGCCACGGACTGCGAAAGAGTTGACTTACCCATCCAACCTGGACACCAAGCAATCAGCGATGACACTATTGAATTGAAGAACTTGGTACTTACTGCGAAACCAAGTGCAGGGTCGACCCATCGTGCGGCTGAATAATATCGATCAATCTCACGTTTCAAGTAATATAGATTATCCTACAGACCAAAATGGGGGAAGGTTCCTGAAATCGGGGCATGGGACGTCATTTCGCCGATGGAACACAGTGAGCTGGAAGAATATTAAACAATAGATTAATGAAGGAGTGTGCGAGCGTACGAATATGCCACTGAGCCCACGAGGGCGTATGCGATAAGGGCACCGACGGGGCCTGCACCACTGAGGGCTTTCCCCGAACCCAGGAAAAGTCCTGTACCGAGTGTTCCAGCGATCTACACGCTTCGTAAGTCAACCTGCAAGGGCAACACCATGACATGACATACAGCAATCCTAAAAAAATCAATAAGCTGGTTATAACAAATAAAAGCTAGACATACATCTGAACATGTCGCTGCTTGAGTCGACGCTGTACCAAGTCGATGGAAGCGACATCGAACTTGTGCCTTTCATCAGCAACTACGTGAACTCCAACGTCGAGCTGGTTCTTCTCGAGGCTGTCGGCATCATACTTGTGATCCTCGTTACTCATAATAGAGTCAACGAGGGCGATCGCGACAAAGGAAAGCGGATTTAGATGAGGGGGGATTCGAAGGAAAGGATTGATATTCGGATCATCTTTGGCAATTAAGTATGGTAGCTACACATGGCGTGGTGCCAGGTGGTGCCTGATAACGATCAGAAAATATACGACAGGAACCATACCACTGGTGGCTGATAGGAAGTTTTACTGCAATTTGTTTACCGATAATCAATCATTGGCCGTGTCAAGAGTGCGAACCCGTTCAACACCATAACGATCATTAATACGCGGTCAACGTTATGGCCCGAGCATGACGGGAAGACTGCCGCGAAAAAGCTTGAAATTTGCAATGAGCCAGGTGAATATGAATATTAATATTTTATTTGGCTATTTAAAGTACCTCGATGGCAGGAAGTCAGGAATCAACGCAAAAGATCGTAAACTTAGTGGTAAAAGCTGTACGAACAACGTGAATGTAGACATGATAAGCACGGAGTTAACCGGCTTGTTCCTGATTTAGATAGCTTCCAGAGGCTCTTCATGTTCCACATCTGAACCAGCCGTTCTAAGTCTGACGAGCACCAGAAGCCTCGATTCTCAGCTTCGCCGAGTCTCCCAGATCTTATCTTCCATTGATAATAAACTCAACGACAGCATCGGAGACCTTGAAAGTGACGACTTGTTTTCATCCATTAATTCAAACTTGCACCTGTGGTGTAGTAAACGTTCTGGATCGATGTCATCGCTCCATGATCCGTATCGGACCATTTAACAACTACCTCAGGCTGGGCACGCAGTGGCGGGCGCAAGGACTCAATAACCACAGCACTAGTACTAGTAAGTACTGAACAGGCCGTGCCAGAATCGCCAGAGTCCGTATATCAATTCAAGGTGCCCAATCAAACCGTGGCTAGCAGTTATGGCTTATTTGACGCAGTCCAACATAGTGCGGTATGTATAAGCGCCGCCTGATGGATTCTCAGGCAGGCCTCCGCTTGCTCACCTCATTATCCGCGCTTCCATATGCCACCCGTGTGATCAAGTCATTGACCTCGATTGAAAATACTGTGGAGTTACCCCAAATTGAAGGAACACCGCCATTCACTCCTTCAGGCTACTCGATTCTTCCTCAAAAATTCGGCATCATGATGTTGAATGTAGCGACTCGTGCCAACTATTAATCTTAATATCGAACATCTTCCTTGTTCATCCGCACTAACGTAAACGTTCTGAATGACCCAATGAGTATCATGACGTCACACAGCCTCCCGCGATCGCCCGCGGATTGGACTCATCTGGTCAGTAAAGGGTATACAGCCATCCAACTTTCTGGAACGTCTGCTCGTCAAAGTCGCAAAAACAGCCTCACCGAGCTGTATATCAAATGATCCCCGCTTGCTGTATTGGCTCAAGGACAACGATGCGCCCGGGGAGCTATGCTTGTCAGATGTGAGTAAGTAAAGGAACCCACTTTCCTCTTGATTGAATGCAGAACTGATTGGCAACCGGCGCCGTTGTCACCCCGTGGTGCACCGCAGTACTGACAGCTCGTCTAACTCACTACCTCCGCTCCACCGACCCGTGACAGCCTGTGTCTATCATCTAAATAATTCAGCTCAGCACACACACACACACACTCCTCTACCACCAATCTCACGCGCGTCGCAGTACCTACATTCATCGAATTTGCTCCGCCATCACATTCAGACCATAATGCGAACATCCTGACACCACCCGGCGCGCGCGCGATCACGAGCCTATTAATGAATGCGAGAATTATAACCCGTCCAAGGTCAAGCCTGATGATTTCCATATTGATGGGTGTCATGTGCGCAATGAGGAGCGCAGTTGTCACAGCTGAGCGCTAAATCCTGATCCCCAATAACGGCTTAGGAGCATAGAGTTGAAAAACTTTGAAAAGCAAGCTGTTGCGCACCCGGCATACAGTTGACCCGAGTCCGAGGTTCGGTCGGGCCAGGACATACATGGGAATGAGGCTCCCACCTTTGCTTCCGCTTTCATCCCAAATCGATGTTGCGCAAGAACGTGATTTCCGCATGGATGAGTCTCCTCAAACTGCCCAGGAAACTCCAGGAAACCGTATCGGATTTTTACTACTCCGAAATCATTTCGCCACATCAACGAACTCGAGCTTTTGGATTGGCTGTAGATATCCGGAAGCTCCTGTAGCCCCTTACCTCATATTGAGCCAGCGAATATGCGAGCAGATCCCCGATTGTCTCGATGAGGTGGGACTGCTACCTTAAATTTTGCTATCTCAGGCGTATTTCAATTCTCATGAAAACTCCATTGGTTTTTTTTTGAGTCAGTTGGGTAGAGATAACGTTTCCACGGCTACCCAACAGTATAGTGTCACGTAGTGCACACTTCTTGATCATTGATCATTGATCACAGATCATTATATACTTGGCAACAGCCTTTTCAGGCAGATAGAAACTCAGAGACAGGTTCTCGTTCAAATTTTATAGAACAGCCCTACGGGCACCCTTGGACCAATCTCGTTCTTCTAATCTATTTTATTAAAGAGGAGCTCAGAGTAGGCCACTGTCCGCTGTCGTTTTCGCACGCGAGTGAAAAGGTATATTTACGAGTAGCAGCAAAATAACTTAAACTTAAACTACATACTATCGATCGCTCCGGCAAGTCAGTACTTGCTTAAACCTTATCATAAAGTCTTCTTATAGTCTCCCTTGCCCTCTCCCCCAACCCTCTTCGTACCTAAAACTTGTCATACCTAACCCTCATTTATGCTGCACACATGTGTTTCTTGTAGTTTGCGAGACACGGGATTTAAAATACCCATGATATTTATCACATGTGAGGAGACATGACTGGATAAATATCTTAATGGTTAGTTATTGATCAGAGAGATGTAGGTTTAAAGGGCTGTATGGTAAAGTTTGGAGTATTAATATTGGTATGATGATTCAAGTTGTGACGTCGCAAGTTTGGCCACGAACAGGTTTTGGGACAGGGGATGATTCACTTATATAACTTATCTTGATGTACCATTCCTCTTCAGTTATCCAAGGTATCCCTCTACAGGTCATACAACTAAATGTAGCCACTCGTTTCCTGACTGAATTGCGGTAAAAAATAGGAGATGATCCTGGACTATGTATAGTCTCATTCAAGTATTATCTCTCCCCATCATCAATCGATGTGAGCCCGGTGCTATCCCAAAGCACCATCAGATGTCAGGTCTATCATGGCTGGATCCGCATGAATGTAGCAGTGAGCCTGAAATATATTGTGGTATAAGTTGGACATGGAGGTGGTGCAGGCAGGAAGATTATGACGTAGATATCAACAGTCCGAATGTAGGAGTATATACAATGAATGTAGCGGGGGCCAGGGAATACAATTAGACTTGCCATTTGGAGGGCTAGAAGTATGAACGACGACCTTGTTCGTGGTCAGTAAAACCGCATTGTTGTAACTGGGATGCGACGAATCCTGAGGACACTCCGCTTGGATACTAGGTCCGACAGCAGACATTATGGTTCTGTAAGGGACGTGGATGCCAAGGGAGTCGCGCACGACACTTCTTCAGTAAAGGACAACAGATTGAACAACATAGAATAGCTTGGACTCGGTAGCATCTGATCGAAGCTCTTCGTCACCGAGGAAATCAAAATGTCCAGAGGATGTTATGGGCTTCGGTGACGTCGTTTGCAGGGTCTTCATCCTTTTCTTCACGCAGTTGAACAAGTGCGATGAGGGCACTACGGCATCGCAAGGGTCCTAGATGCGCGCGTGATTTCTCGGCGAAGTAGCGTCATTAAGGTTGCGATAGCTAACATACCTGGGCAACGTTGAAGTATATCCCATACAGGTCCTGTTGTTCGGAGAACTTGAGACCAATCGAACGACAAGAATTACTGTTCGTGCGAAGCAGGCTTAGATACGACGAACCATCATCGTCTGGAAGTTGTTGATCCATTATGACAAGCAAGACAGGAGGGACCAAAGCCAATGGTGAGACAGCAGGAAATGAGGATGCGGCCGTTTGATCAGGTGAACAACGACAGAAGGACTGACATTTGACAGGGGGCGTGTCGACACGAGGATTTTAGAATATAGATTTAGATTTCGAACGACGTTCTAAACGCTGCGGGAAGTCATCCAGTACTACGACCAAGTAAGGCGAGACATCAATCATCCTCGTCCTCTCCAAGTACATGCACTGCCGCCGACCTTCCTTCCTCCCTTGATAGTGGCGCATACCACTTACTCGCATCAGACGGGTCTGACAACTCAATGCCCTCAGCGGAGAAAACAACACTAGGCTGCTGCGCAGACGACGCATTCCGCCCAGACGTGGAGTAAAAGTGCAGCAAGAAGACAGTGAGGAGGTAGAACAGAAATGCAATGCTGTGAAAGAACTAAGCTGACAAGCATTAATGTAAATTCATGAAGGCCCCCACCTGTACATCGACAGTACATATGTGACGTGATCCATTCCTTCCTCATGGACGGCTTCGAGCTCCTCGTCTGTAGCAGACATAAAGAGTAACCTAGATACAGTCAAGAACCAAGCTTATTTGTGCTATAGTGCAACATACCCAGAAGCAACTAGTAACTGATGAATATTGCGATGAGTATTTTCATAACAATTGTTAAGGAATGATACTAACAAACGGTGGCAAGTGCCTGAATGCTCGGGCAGCATTTGATTTTGTGGCAACGCCGGATCTTTGGGCGCAGAAGGCGCCAGGGTGTGTTCTGAATCACTATCATCCAGCGGAGGCGTCTCCGATAGCGGTGAAGGCGGCAGCGATATGAAACAAACCTCAAGGATACGTGCAAAACCGGCGAGCATCAGCGAGTACCCGAACATAGAGTGAACCTGAGAATACGACCAACATCAGTACACACAAATGGTGAATATATGCAACCTGACATGGTTCTTACCTTCGTGGACAACATCAGAGCCTGGGTATGGTCTGACATAGCCCATCCTGTTAGTATTATGCTAAGCGCTTGTCAGACTATCGATCAGTATGAGAGAGCGAGAAGACGAACATCACGCCGGGGACAACATTTCGCTGCATGCATAGATAAGTTCAGCAATGCACTAAAAAACGATTGGGTACGTACCTGATTATTCCGAGACAGGAATATGCCAAGAGCGCCTCCTGCCCACCACAGTATCCCAAGAATCCTACATAGGGATGGTCGACCACTTGGTCAATACAATTCTCAGAACGGACGTACGTATGCTGCATATCTTTCACACTCCATTCACCACCGTGGTGCTCAGTAAATGTATTGACTGTGCCCTGTGACAAATTCAGCTCGAGTACATTGCACGTCCGTGATGTGCGCACCCAAAGCATAATCACCCACGAATCCCACCATTCGGGGCTGCGGCCGCTGCGGTGGACCCAGTCGTCCCCGACAACGAGTAAGAGCGTCATAATGATACCATAGGCAATGAATGCGCTTCCCTAGAGACTTCAATGAGCACTATCCGAAAGTGGACATGACACGTGGACCAACCATAATATAGTGCGCAGCACATTGTCCGGCTCCCACCTCCCCGCAGAACCCTCTCAGTGTGATGACGCCAAACAAGCCCTGGACCCAACCAAGGATAGGCCATATACGCCCTAAGATGCCATGGGCGCGCACAGCGTATGGTCGTAGGGTACGTTCATGGATATGAAGCTTGAGATAGATTCCAAGGCACAGCTGGGCGAGAATAGGGACCAAAATCCATGATCCGATATGTGAGTGGATAGAAGAAGGGAACTGTCGACCGCCATGCGCATGGCCAAGAATTATACCGCCAAAAGTTAGGGCAAAGGCGAGACTCTACGTAACCTCCTTGATCGGAATAAAATCACAAGGTGCAACAATGCAACGTACTTGTACAGGAACATGCCATTTACTTCGTGCAAGTCCAAGTACCATACCCACGGGGAATATGAAACCCCATACGATAGCTTGGAGGGCGATATGTATCCAGAGAATGGCATCAACTGGGGCGTTTAGTTGCTCTTCTGTAAGGTCTGCTCCATGATGTTCATGAGCGAGCACCGGCACTATCCAAGAGAAGACGAAGGGAAGTAGTAGGGGTGTCCATAAGAACAAGTCGGGTGCCATTAACAACGGCGAGCAATCTTGAACCTGCTAATATTAATCAGATTCGATGTGCTTATGGAACAGAACCAAACGACGTGTGAAATGAGTGTATCGATTTCGGCATGTCGGCCACTTCCACGTAGGATTTTGATGACGGCATCTATATATGCTGGCCTTGCACCTACCACAGTACTTGAATTTTGTGTTCGTAGTACTTGCCATCTTAACGACAGGTACATGTCCACCAGTAATGCTCGAAGATACCATTTTCTTGTTGAACAAGTCTGATACTATCGCGAGCCTTCCTCCCAATCATTCTCTCACTTTACTGTGATAACAGTAAACGACCTAAATTCTGGACAGCAAGTCCGAGGGTACACAACCGTTCCTAGATGGTATCGCATAGGCCAAGGTACTCTACACAGGTCCAATATCTACTGGCTGGATGGACATCCTGACCTTTCAGATACAGTGATGGTTTGAAACTTGCTGGCAAATGATCTTTCCCACCCTAACATTCACTCATGGACAGTTCCTGCAGGAGGTTCATCTCGACATGAAGCGTCCTGGTCGAAGTGATTGTCATACCAGAATCGAAATCTGGTTCTCTTAAACTACGCAGGTTCGAAACCTGCCAACAGATGATTTTTCCCTCTTATCACACCTCAACGTTCATTCATGGACGGCTCCTTGGAGATTCATCTCAACTTCGTCCCAGCCAAAGTGGTAACCACAACAGAATCAAAATCTGTTTCTCTTGGGCTGTGCAGGTTCGAAACCTGCCGAACGCCAATTTTTTCTATCGGAACACACCTTGACATTAAATGATGGATGGATTCCTCGGACGCTCATCTGAACTGGTCTTACCAGCCAAATAGTTGCTACAACAGAGTCAAAATCTGTTTCTCTTGGACTTCGCCGGTTTGAAACCTACCGACAACTATTTTTTTATCGGAACACCCATTGATATTCGAATATCTGCTCAATTCCTGACAGACGTTTCGTCACAATGTCGAGCTTGGCTGTGATTAGCTCGCATTTGTTCATGCGAGATTCGACTTTGAAGGGTTGCGCGTTTAGAACGGCCGGCGGGAATGGCGGACTGATGGGGGTACGCCCCGCATCAGGGCATTCGCGAACCTGGAGATGCGTTAGGGACACGGGTGTCCCTCGGGCTAGATAGTATTGTCCTCAGAGTATAACTCTCCATAGGACATAAAAATGGGATTTTAAAAAAAATATTGCGGGAGTCTATTTCTCATCACTTTGTTGGTACGGGACTCTATGGGTCTTGTTCATCACGAGCATTTGAAGGGTGCAACTCTATGCATCAAGGTTTCAACCGTCGATTTCCCTAACTACTTGTATTCGTAGCACAGATTTGAATCAAGTGCGATTTTGATCGCAGAATGTGACCGTAGCGGGCTCTGTCGCAAGCGGCCCTGTGCGTTATTATTGTAAGCATAAGCACGGCTAAGCGCAAACCGTAAGCTCTCAGGTGTGAGCGTCCCCAAATGAATACACTAAATGTACGAAAGTTGATGGATTCCGACTCGTCGGCTTAGAGGTTCGAGTTTAGAATTGGTAGAACTTCGAAACACAAATTGAATTATCGTAGTGCTAATACCACAACTACTATGTAGGATACATTATAATCAGGTAATAACAAGTGATCAATAACACTCAAGCCTTTTGCCGCAAAGTCCTACAGGCCATATAGAACTGTGAGCGACTGGTCGACCTCCGCGGAAACTCGTGTGGCTGGGAGCTCAGGGTTGTCATAAGAACGCGAATTTTGTACGTCCTATGTATATAGAAAAGTTGTGGTTTACTGATGGAGATTGATGATGACGAAAGAACACCATGATGAGTCCACCGGAGATGGACAGCCACAGTCCGAGAGCCGTGTGTGCCATTCCGAGGAGTTCGATACCACTGCCAGCTAGACCCTGGTATATGCCAGACCATACATTGGCAGAATGGATATATTCCAGAGTGGATATAATTAACTATTATGTAGACTAAAGGATGTATCGGACTTTTAGGGTCATCGGCCATAAGGATGTATTGTTATGACTGTATCCTGTGATGCTACGACATGGCACGAGCGAGGAGGACGAGCTGGAGAACGGCAGTATTAAATTTTCGGCGACTCTAGTAGTGATGATCATGAATACATGACATGCAGTGACACCTGAGACATAGCCAAATTACTAACAGTCCGCGACAGATGTGACTGCTCAAATTGGGAGACGTAATCAACTTTACATTCATAGATAACCTCGAATATGCCATTTGTCCATGGAATTGTTCTGTATCTCGATCTCAGGTGTGCACGCATGATCATGAGGGGATGTAAGTGCTCACTGCTAGATCTGAATGGCCAAGCGTATATATTAACTCCGCGACAAGCCCTCCGATCTGCTTTTATTGTGGTCTGTTACTATGAACTGGCGCGGCCACTTGAACTGTATCATGATTCATATCATTATACGAGTTTGTTACCAAATCGCCAAAGGATGGTCCGAGGAATAAGAAGGGCAGAGGAAGCCAGGTATGCGGCTATAATAACACCTCTATAGCTCAACTGACTTGTGAAAGCAGCAGCATATGGCTCGCGATCGAGTGACACCATTATGATGACGCGGCCATGGCTGCCCATTAACTCAGATGTTGCTTTATGGATAAGTCGGACTATATTTCAGTCGTCGACAGGAACCGCACCCCAAACCTTACTTGACAGTTTATCTCGTCCCGCACGCTCAAAAAGATAAGCCGGTGAAATAAACTGTCGTTAGTTAGTGGGGTTTTACTCTGGTATATTGTGGGTGCGCTTTCAGGGCCACACCTGCATGGCCCAGTATGACCTGGCACGTCCATCGTGCAGGGGACCTGACATAAATTGCGCTTCCTCTTGAATTTGCTTTTGGACTACGGACCATATTCTCTCTCCCTGCCAATCGAGGACGAACCCCTGTACGATGAGACATATCCTAACGGGCTTGGTGCTTTCGAGCACGTTTTTTGCCTGTGCGTGGGCTGGGCAACCAACTCATATTTATGGTGTAAATTTGGGTTCATGGTGAGCGTTACTCTACGTCTCTGACCGACTTTTTAACTGAAGTGGTAGCGCAGGTTAGTTTTGGAGTTATGGATGCTTCCTCAAGGTGATAAACCGACGAACTATGTAAGTGCGCGTTCGCTGAACAAGTTTCTCTAGGGTGGGTGGATATGGGGGGGCAATTATGTGGTGCAGATTGTTCGACATGCATTTCAACCGAGTCGTACGTTCCTATTCTATACTGTTTGTATGTGAAACTCGATTTTTTCTATGATAATCTAGGGCATTTGCAAAGGCGTATCCCGACACTGTCGACACCACATTCGCTCAACACTGGGACACATGGTTTACACAGAGTGATGTCAGCACACTGAAGGCGGCCGGTATTAATACTGTCCGCATTCCTGTGAGTCGAGTCCAAGGCACACGCGAACTTGGCAAAGCTAACGCTGGACGGCTTGATCTGCTTTACCTTTTCCGTCCTGTGCAAACTTGTGTGTTATGTAACGCATCTGTATATAGCTGGGATATTGGATAGTGGAGGATTTAGTCGATAGCCCGTCCGAATCATACCCTCGGGGCGGTCTTGCCTATTTGGTAAGAAACTCTATAGTTCAATCCTCTAGTTAAACTCGAGCTTTGCAACTAGCGCCGGGGCTTGGGCTGGCTGCAAGATGCCGGGATCCAAGTGATCCTGGATCATCATGCATTGCCCGGGGTCCAAACGGCTGAGCAAATGTTCACTGGAAAGTACGTTGCCATTTTTTCACTATTTGTGCTGTACTGAGAATGACTTTTACCAGTTGTACTACTGATGTTCAATTCTACGTGAGTCATTTCGCAGCTGCTAAAAGCAACAATCCATAATACATTGCACATAGACACCATACAACTACGGCCGTGCACTGGTGTGGACAGCGGTCATGACTACGCTTTCTCACCTGGACCCTGATTTTGGAAATGTATTTGCGATCGAAGCAGCCAATGAGCCTATTAATGACGCGGCTCAAACACCTGACTATGGTACCTGTATGCATCACTCATCAGAAGTTCTTTTATTTGTGCTCTCATGACCTGAATCTTCATACAGTCCAAGAGAACTTCGTCCAGACAATCCGTGCTGTTGAACTCACACTCGGAATCTCTGTGCCATCGTCCAAATTATCGGTATCGGTATCAGCGTCCGTCTCGAACAACTTCACCGCTGCATTGATTGAGACATCCTCGTCAACCATCTTCTCGGCGGAGGTGCAAGCGGCACTTTCAGAGGCGGTTCCGATTATAATAGGGATTGGATCAAAATACAGTTTGCAGACGATATTCGAAGCATCACCCTTCAAGCAGTCCGGTACTCCGTTAGTGGCAAAGTGAGTTTGCTACATGTTCTTGCTAGGATATACTAACAACGACATACAAAGCTTCATGGATGTGAATTGGCAGTACAACAACCCCCCTAATCCAGCTGATGTTGCGATTGGCCCTCAAGCTTACGACAATCACTTATATTACTCGTGAGTGCGCAGTTGACTACACCAAATTATCATGATTTCTTAAATTCTCTCTACAGGTCGGCCGTATGTCGTGTGTATGTAGCTTATTGGTTCTCATTGACAATTTTATAGGGAAATGACCCGACGTCATACATGATCAATATCTGCAGTATATCTTCTTCGTTGGTTCGACAATGGCGTACTCAGTTATGGTATAGATCTTCCAGAAATCCAGGCTGACGCAGCACTGGGCAACTCTCCGCTCTGGTTCGGAGAGTGGTCACTCGATACACAGTTCAATGCCACGGACGCATTCCTTTACCAGTGGGCTGACGCACAGAAATTAGCCTATAGTAAAGGTGCTGGATGGATTGTACGTGTCCTATAGTGTTTTATCAAGACGTCGCTCAAAGAATCCTTTAGTACTGGAACTTCAAAATCGAGACATCGAACCTCACCAACGGAACTGCCCGTGCAAGGCAATGGTTAGTCAAGACGCATACCAGAGTAATTTATGAAAGACCTGATGGTTATCTAGGTCATACCTTGAGGGGTTAGAACTCGGGTTCTTTACCCAGGACCCCGCGGCGCTCCACGATCCAAACGTGTGTGCTCCATACACGAACAGCACCTCGAACAGCACCTCGAATAGTACCTCAAGCAGCACCTCGCACAGCACTTCGAACAGCACCAGTTCAAGTGTGCCTTTACCGATCCCTGCCACAGGTTATCGACCACTCCTTTATTCCATGTTCTCCCTTTTATCATTAATATTCCTTTAAGCATGCCGGCAATATGAGGCTCATTGTATGGAATTGTATAGAATGATACATATATTCCTGTTGTCATCGCACGTTCTTTTTGTTATCATGCATTCTTTTTAGACATGACGGTAATCCTCAGGGATGTTGGAAGGTGACGAGACTCGGACTAGGAACTAGAAACGAAGGGAGAAACTCAGTCTTCGGATTGAGAGACTGAAGGCTACGATCGATCATACCTAGAAACGAAGGGAGAAACTAAGTAGGTAGTTAGAACTAATGTATCATATATATTATTAAACGCTGGTACTCATCTCAGTCTTCGGATTGAGAGACTGAGTAGAGAGCATTCTGAGATGCTGGAATAAAAGGAAAGTCGTTGAAACGGAGAAGGAAAAGGGCATGTGTAGAACACGTGTAGTAAGTAGTGATTGTGTATGTAAAGAAAGGTATGCGTGGTAGACGCATTCCAATAAGGGAGCTTGTTTACGGTTCATCGGACTATTTGAATGATAGGTTGGCATTTGATCTTTGCTCGAATGAGTCATTTTGCAGAATCCTTTCACAAAAGATCGCAACGGGAGTCAAGCTAGAAATACAAATTTGTACAATATGAATTGAGTCAGCGAAAACATGTGGTCGGCATAAGTTCAAGCAAATGTTATATGAGTGACGATACTACTGGATTCGGGGCTCGGACAGTACACTTGTTACTACTGAATCCGATTTTGCGACACTCCCTCGGAATGATGTTGTTCTCGTAACACCAGAATGCAATCATGGCACAGACAGTGTGTCAGAGAAACGGAACTCAACTCTTTATATGCAGAACATATGATATATCCCAAGGCCATCCTCTAAGCCTATCGGAGGGATATGCAGTGGCTGCGGAGAAGCATGCGTCGTGAAAATCATGACGAGGGCTGCACTACCGAATCGTAGCGGCGCGCGCGCCAATCCTGAGTTCCAACTGTCTTATCTGAAGGAAACAGCCTCGTCCAGCTATCTCTGCGAACCTCTTGTTTCTGGCGGAATCACTTATCGCGTCCTGGGCACTACAACCACGGCATAAAGTACATTTGGAGAAGGCAAATATTGGGGCACGGCGTTCAAAGAACACATCTAATCTTCCGTCACCTGCATCGCTTGGGCATCGAACTCATTGCCATCGTTTTCATCGTCGCGCCTGGCAATTCTTGCGTGGCTGTTCCTTATGGAGATCATCGCTGGCCTTGCGTTTCCCCTTGGAATCCCCCACGCAGTTGGTGAGTGTTAGCCGTGATAGAGGTATCGGGAAGGAATTTCATTTCTTTAAGCATCACCTGACAGCCGGCAGGCAGCTTTGGGGCGTACTAAAGCCAGTGCAATAGACTGCAAGTGGGGGGGCAGACTCTGCAAACTGTTGTCTCGACGCCGCTGAGAATGCAGCAGTAGGCAACAAATCATTACGAGCTGCAGAAAATCAACGAAAGACACTGCGATGAGTATAAGCTTCAGATTCAAAGTGCGACCGTCGAAGAGTCTGATGGAGACCATCCACGCCAACGGACAAAGACATACCATCGAACATGACCATCACGTGGGGATGGAGATAATCATATCGCACACACCTGACGCAATTAAATGCCAAAGAATCCAGTAACACTAACCACGAACACAAGTTGGAGGTGGAGGCATATACAGCAGCGTGAAACTGCGGAACATACAAGGCATCATAACAAACGGGACATGTTGCGACATCATGAACGGTAGAGCGGGGTGGACAATCATCAAAATCAAGTACGCATGCCACAACGGACGCTTACTGTACTATTTGGTGAGAAGGACGGCCATACTGAGAAGTCAACAGTACAAAATAAGAAGCACAAAGGAGGACACACTACCAAGTCCTCACTCAGCTGAAAACTGCAATGATACTGTAAACTTGAGAAGCTGTATGGCTTTCATCTGCATGGACAAGTAAAATGCAACGCTCACGAGGTGTATGGCTGGGTATCAAATAGTCCGTAAAGCCCACTACTTCAAGAAGAGAAATTGAAGCAACTAGTTTAGTAGTGACCTCATGATTGATGCGAGGTGGGACGACGGCGATCAGAGAAAGATCTGCGGCAGCTCACTCCTTCATAAGAAACATCTCCCGTCCCACCACCTGCGCCTTGCGTGCCCGTCGGTCGTGCTTGAGACACTTGTGTTACCGGCGCAGCCTGAGGTTGACCTGCTTGGGTCGAACTACTGGCCTCGTTGCCATCGGTACGAGGCACAGCTCCAGCCGCTTCTGCACGGGCCACTTCTGTTGCAGTGGGAGGGGAAACGAATTCTCTGCAAATAATTTCCATGATATCAAAAAGAGTGATTGCGAGCCACTTGCATTTTTCTTGCGACCAGCGGCTACTTCAACGGCGCGTGTGGGGCTTCTTCCTGAAAATGAGTTGAAATTCCAACGCCGGGGCTCGAGCGGTATTGATTTGACGCGCAATTTGGAGGTTGAGCACTGAGACGCAGCAAGTCGAGAAAATTACGCCAACGACGGGCAGACAATGGGCTCGCAGGAGCCGCGGGACGAGGCGTGGGGTTGTCGTCAGCGTCCCAGAAGTCATTGCACTATACAAATTTTAGATTTGCGAGAGCCAGGAAATGAAATATTATACTAATATATTCCGACATGCCTCCGAGCCTGTCGTTGGGCTGCTGCTTCAAGACCTGACTAGCATGCAAGATCTAATGAGGCGAGTGAGCAAATGATTAGGGTATTTACAACTGATTAGCGCACGGCATGTCTTGGTCAAACTGGACGTCCTTGGTAAAGGAGTAGGATACCATAAGAAACACAGAAGACTTGCCTTAAGCTTTGCATCGAGTTTTACATTGCTCTCATCCACACTCTGAACGACAACCAAAACACGCTTAGAAAAGACACTGACAGTGAATAAATACACTTGCATGATCATCGCCTGCATGCTTCAGAGCTGCCTCCAGGCTCCATACATAGACCTTTGCATCTGATCCACCACTGATGATATATTTTCCATTAGGGGAAATGACAACAATGAAAATTTTGTCGTCATGTAAGAGGGGTTTCCGACTGGCTGATTGGTCTTGAGGTCCCAGATGCGACCTGAGTAGTCCGCTGTCGTGCTAACAAGATGGCTTTCATCAGGGGAAAGACAGAGGGGGGCGACGATATTGGCATGTCCCTGGAAAACAACGAGCTCCTTCCCATTAGTCGACCGCCATTTTCAGATGGTGTGATCATACGACGTGGAAACAATGTGTCATCCTTGGATTAACACAACAACGTTACCACACCGTCATGGCCCTCGATCTCCAAGAGCAGCTCGCTGTCCTTTGACCACATGCAGATCACCTTGTCCTCCCCACTGCTCGTGAATTTATCCCATTGTGAAGAGTAGCTGACAACCCAAACCCTCCCTAGGCCTCATGGTGGCAGAGAGATGATAGTATATGAGAAGACGCAGAAATCAGGAGAAGAGATTGTCGATATGTATTAGCTAGTATATAGCCATTTGAACAAGGTAATTTCGTTTGGAAAACGAAGGGAGGTGCACAGGAAGACGGCGGAGCTCGATTACATAAAAGTCTTATGATCATAAACTTCTTTCGATACGATTTCGAACAATATATGCCAGTTTCGTAATGTCCACTTCTCTGCTCGTTCCCCTACATGTTGCATATATCAGAGCTCTTGGAGATGTTGGTTTTTCGACTCTTACTCAATGAACTGATCTCTAAGCCTTCAAGCAGAGCAAAGATGAACTGTCCTATCACCTCTCGGCTCACCTGAGGATGAACGCGGTGTACTGGGGCTTGAGTGCTCTTTTCGTCATGGGACACGAGGATGCGTTGGACCGTGATGAGATGGTAGATTTCGTTATGAGCTGCTGGGATGAAGAGGCAGGTTTGTTCCCATCAAGAGATCCATGCCATCTCGAGCTCACATTCCGCAGGCGCTTTTGGCGCTCATCCCGATCACGACGCACACCTGCTTTCTACTCTCAGCGCAGTACAAATTTTGTTGATGCAGAATGCGCTCAATAGAGTCGATATCGACCGTGTTGTGAAATGTGCCTTGTTTTCTTTTATCGAATGGTTTGACATCACTGACATGGCACAGTCATCTTATCTTTGCAGCAACCTTCTGGAGTTTTTGCGGGCGACGCCTTTGGCGAAACTGATACACGTTTTTTGTATTGTGCAGTCAATGCTCTCTCACTTCTCGGAAAGCTTCATGAGTTGGACATCGAGAAAACGGTCGCATATATCAGGCGTTGCAGGAATTTTGATGGTGGATTTGGAGCTGTTGCGGGTGCAGAAAGTCATGCTGCACAAGGTGAGCATTCCAACACATACATAACTTCGGAATGCTGGAGCGCCATAGTATTTGTTTGCGTTGCTGCACTTGCTATTCTGGACAGATTGGATGAGGTCGATCAGCCGACCCTGTGTTGGTGGTTATCAGAGCGACAACTACCGAATGGAGGGCTTAACGGGCGCCCTGAGAAGCTGGAAGATGTGAGTGTTTGTACACATGACTGCTCTGCAGTGTTCCTGATTCTCTGTTTACAGGTTTGCTACAGCTTCTGGGTGCTATCCGCCCTTTCTATCCTTGGCAAGCTCTCATGGATAGACTCTAGTAAACTGGAGGCCTTCATTCTCTCTGCCCAAGACACCGAGTCAGGAGGTATTGCCGACCGCCCGGGCGATATGCCTGATGTCTTCCATACACATTTTGGCTTGGCTGGTGCGTAGGACGATCCAAACTCAGAACCAACCTCAGAATCATTTTTTCGACAGGTCTTTCATTATTGGGATACCCGGCACTAGTGGACCTTGACCCAGTGTACTGCATGCCTGCTGGTATCATTGAAAATTTGGGTCTCACGAAGGGGTGGAAGGCTTTGCAGAGAAGGACTTCGTGATTCGCATGGATTGAGGTTATAGATGTCGAGAAATTTACTGGAAGAAGTGACCAGACTCTGACTCTGAAAGTATAATTGGTACGGTATTTGCCTGGAGTGCGGGTATATATAGGCAAGGCGGTAGCGCTGGAAGGCTGTTCTCGCTGTTACATCGCTCTTGGTTGAGTCAGTCTCGTGAGCGCTGAACCCACTCATGCACCAGTGTCTGTACCTGGAAGAAATTTTGCAAGA